GTCTCACCTGCGCCTACCTCACGCAGTCCAACCAATAACAGGCCGACTCACACAAGACCTCAAGGTACTGGCTTTTGGCTAGACAACACTCAGGATTCTGTCCCGAGCGGGGCGAAAGCGACGACGCCGCGCTCTCACACGGCCCTCACGGTCGAACGCCATGCCATGGAAACTTTCTCGTAACTCTTGTGTACACAATACATTGTTCCTAGTAGTCTGGCCTTTCCAAGACTTCCTTCAACTCTCATAAAAAAACCGCGCCTGGAAGATCACAGCTGTTAGGGTAAAACTTGTTAGCCTTAACTCCTCCTCGATATACAGTAGTGAGATCATTCGCATTGGTTAGAGGTATGCACGTCCCGTTCGATTGACATATGTTTTATCAATTTTAACAGTGATCCAACCAACAACGAAGAGAAAACCTGCTTTCAAATTTGCCACACATTTCCTTTTTTTTATTTTTCTCAGGTAAAATGATCTAGCTGACTTTGAATTTATTCCAGTGTATATAGCCTGCAGTAAAGGTCGTTGCTAGTTCACAGCTCTGAGAAAAGCCGTTGGGACAATTGTACCAACGTCAAACAGTACACAGAAAAACTAGCTTTCGAATCAGGTAGAAAGAGAGAGAGAATATCCACTCTATGTTAAGGCGGCATAGTCCAGGCTGAAGAATGCCTGGTTTTTTGCTGTGCGGGAACTTACTGCCGCAAATTACTGTTTTTAGCTTGCGTTTTCAGCTAATTGGCTCGCTATTATGGAAGGTCTTGAGCAACATCACCTGCGGTTGCCGAATTTGTTTCCGATCGTAAAATAGTTTAAAAAAAGTATTTAATGAACATGAACAGTTGGCAAATCACAGTAATTCAACAGGCTAGAAGATGAGTCCCCTATTACACTTGGTCCGCTTTCCGGATTGCGATATTCCTTATTATTTTTGCAGTTGGCGGGCATGTGCGATTGGATGAGAAGACTGCACTAGCTCGCTACTGGATTATCACACCATATAAATAAGAAGAGAGGGCCGAATACAGCCATTAAAGCGGATTGTAAGATGGTCGACGGGGACTATGCCACCAGGCCACAGGGCATTTTGAAAATAGTTGGAGCCATTCTGGGCTTTACCACAATGATTGTCATTGTGACGACCCTGCCTCTCAAGGAGATTGATGCGCCTCCCTTTAACGTTACCGAGCCGCTATATGCTGTTGCGCCTGAAACGAGGGCATGCGGAGTTCTGCTTTTCGTGCCGATTTACGTCTGGGTTGTGTGTCTGACCCTACTTCTCCTTCGCATAAGTGAGGGTGGAGGCATGGACATCTTTGTAAGGCGCTGTTTTATGTTTTTTGATGTTTCAATCAAGTCAATTTTTTACGCGTCGTTTTTTTCATATTTAAATGCAAACAGGGACTTTGCCTGACTAGCACATGCATATAATTGTCGCTTTATATATATATATATATATATATATATATATATATATATAAAGAAAATAATC